AAAAAAAAAAAAAAAAAAAAAAAAAATCAGAAATACCGGAAAATCCACAAATTTTTTCAGACACAGCCTATAGATACCAGTTTTCATCGTCTTTCATACGACACAGTACATCCGGTCGAATATGCATCTGCATTCGCATCTGTCAGCAGCAAACTCTTTTCAGGTCTCCCCTTCTATAGAATCTCACTAGACCCCCCCCCCCTATACCTTTTAGTATCTATTATTGTTATTATTATTCTTTTTTCTTTTTCAACTCCTCTCGAGAGCAGCTTCCTTCCTCTCACTCGCTTATCAACCATAATGCTTATTTTCGTATATGCCAGAAGAAGAAAGAAAATTATTAAAGCTTAATGATCGCGATGTAAATTTGAGCAAAGACAAGAGAAGCAATTTTTATTTTCCATTCACGTAAGACTCGACAGGGAGTAACGAGAACATAAAAGGGCGCGAAACACTGACATTTGAAATTATCTTTCGACCAAAAGCTATTTCGCCAACTTAAACCCTTCGACGCTGTTAATAATATTACTGGGACGGTACAATGTTAATTACTCATTAAAAAGTCATTTGATAATGCATCTGAAAATTATACTTTGATAATGCACCGATATCCCCATGCACTGCATATACACTGATCATAGCATCATATCCGAGTACGTGCTATATAAATGAACCACTATAATCCCTATACTGTACTACATTATACAGTATCTTACTGTACTGTGCTATACTATACTATACCAAGTACACTCGCAGCAATCTATCCACAGGAATCGGTCCATACCGCTAAATCATGTAGCATAATTGATAACGTGCCCTTGAACCTTTTAAGGGTACCAGAGAAAGAGGGGAAAAAACATAATCTAACTTTTTAATTCAAATCTGATTATGCTATACACGTAGCCGTATAAATATACACATTTCCGATAATCCAACTGTCTTACTATTTGTGTAGATTCGCATTTGTATTATCACCTTAGTGATATTACGATAGCGATGGGCACCGGTGTGGGTGACTCTGGGGAGTCGGGGTAAGGTTTATCGAGGTTGTCGGGTCGATCGTATGGTTTATTTTAGAATGGCCTCCCGTGAGGGCAGCTGTCTTATTCTGAGGCCGCGTTTACGCTAACTGTATATGGAGAACAATGAGGTTCTATGTCTTTTGAAAGGACCACGGTAATCCACGAGATACGTATACGTAACAAAAGTTTAGCATATATACAAAAGTTACAGTGGACATATGGAAATAGGATTAAAACATGACTGTATCTTCTTTGATGTATACCCTATGTATAGAGATATACACAGAGCACTGTATAGGAGCGTTAAACTTCTTACACGAACTGTACTTTTACTCGGTTCGCCTTCCGCGTCCCTGGGATTATAATTTTTTAATAATTTTTGTTAATTAAAGTAAATCAAGGAATTCCTGGGAATCGAACAAAATTTAATTCCTCGTCAAAGCTTCCTTTATATATATGTATGCACATTCAACGCTTTCGTTTTTACACGAAGACTAATCGAATTTCCGCCGGTCGATAAGCGCGGGCTATTTGATTTTGTCAAAGTGCTTCCAGTCTGATTCTTTGATCTGCAATACTTTTCAGGAGCTCTATGGTTGTTTCCTTTGGAATCGAAAGCCAGTCGAAGTTCTGCGTGTGTGACACTTATATATATATATGTATATAGATTTTATAATAATATCATTATAGACTGATAATAAATATTTAAAAGAAAATTTTTCATCGAGACTCTTTGTAACGTCCAAGATTGTAATTACATAAAATTATCAGTGTATCTAAAAAAAATGTGATAAAAAAGTTGAGTGCAGTTTACGTAAGTGCAAGTAAAATTCTCACGTGACGCTGTCTAAGCAAGCTTAATGCATTACGAGCCTTTAAGTGGCTCGATTCTCGTCGACGTCAACGACAGATGCGGCTGCGCCTTAATGAGGAAACGGTTGACGAATGCGTCACGACGTCGCAGGGACACTTGGGGACGTTCAGTGATATACGCGTCGACATAGTGTAGCATAAAATTCTTTATAAACTTCGGCGTAGTCGTTATGACGTCAGTATGTGGAGTATCCATTTTTTAAATCTAATATTACAGTAGTTAGTCTCGTAGGCTATGTAGTATATACATAATACCATTCCACGTTACCTATACGGGCATACGAATTTCTCGAGGCGTGGAAAAGTACGGACAATAGACCACTCTTGAGACTTCAATAACGCCGTCGCGACGTTAAATCTATTTTCGTTAATTAATCGAAGAGTTTATTCCATAAATTGTAAGTCCTATGTTCGTAGCATGAAAGCACTGAAAGTCAACCGCAAAGGCAATTCATTAGTTCTTGCGTCTAACAACGGCACAAAGCAGTTCGGATGTCTTCGGATTAGATTTGAAAATTCCGAACTTACCCGAAGTGTACTGTAGACTGTTAATCCGGTTGATATAGTCAGACGTGATGGAACGATTTTATATAATTATATTAGTAAACAGGCGCTTTATGTAAACCTATAGAAACGCAGTACGGGTACGGTCGCAGGCCCTGTGAATTCGAGGAATCGCTGGGTTAGACTAAACTAACCTCCCCAGCAGGCCAGGGAGGCTCCGTCGGATCGATGTTTACGAGTTAGGAGCGACGCCCTTTGTCTTGGACGTACCTTTTTGCTTTCTTTTAATCCTCGACCATGCTACGAACTTTTTCTGACAAATTCATGTAACATTGCGTAGGGATGTCGTTCAGGGTATTTGACAGCCGTTGAAATACTTCGATAGGCCGTAAACTACGTTAATCAGGTATGCAACGACTTTCGTAGCGGTTGTTTTACAATGGCCTTGTCTTATGGCAAAACTTGTTACACTAAAAATGTATTATTTTGCACGAAAATAATTCTTCGTAAAGATTATTATATTCCTTGTGACAATAACGATACAGATTCGTTGCTTTTCTTGGAACGTCCTACGGAGATTGCGCGTTATTCTTATGACTCGAGCAGTCAAGACTGAGTCTGACAGCGCCTTGTATAATGTAATGGAAGCATGGGCGACGGTTACATTTAGTTTTTTCTAGTTAAAATTTCTTTATTGATGATTGATTCTTCATCAATGACTTATATGACTCATAAGACTGAATGGTGTGGAAGGTGGATGATTACTGTAGATTTATCTTTTATTATTACTATTATCTTCCATTCAGCATCATTACCGACGAAATGGGGTTAAACGGGGTAATCGAAACTGACATATTTCTGTTATATAGTATATAAAGGACTTTGTATGTGGATATAAGTGAGCGTCCTCATTTGGCGGCGTTCTCATTCACCTTTTTTTTGCTTTTCATTTTTTTTTAACGCTTGGACATTGAATATTATAGTTGGAGTTGGTTGGCAGACAAAACGGTGGAATATACGTCGCGTTGCCAATTTATAAAAATAAATAATCGTACCCGTGAGTCCGCAGCTATCGGAGTATTTTCATCAGACTGGACGATGGTTGTTAAAAAAGAAAATAATTTTTTTTTGTTGGAATAAAGTCAAAATATTTGCATCGTTACGTATATTTATATTTTGTATTTTTCGTCCCTTGTTTTTTTTTAATATTAAATCTCAAAGTTTACGTGAACTCTTAGTCGTGAAGTCATCCGCGACGAAAGCTTCAGGTTCGTTTTCACCAACTGAACCTTGAAAGTAAGCGACGTTAATTATTCTCCCGTAAAATGGTCCTCGTTCTACTATACCCTGTATAAGCTAACTTACGTTCAGCATCATCGAGGTACCCTCGCAAATTCATTCAAATTTTTCACACAGCTTCGCCGTCGGATGTTCACGAAAACTCGAGACTTGCCTCTTAGGTCCACTGAGGCTTCGATCGAATTACTTGGTAGATATTCGAAAGTCCTGAACACCGCTCGCGATTAATTAATACCGATCAGAAATACCAACAGGGAATAACTAATTTTCTAAAAAAAAAAAAAAAATTAAACTTACTCTTATCACCGTCACCATCACGAATAACTTAGCTGTATTAAATTTAAATAATTTAAAAAAAAAACCCAGTCAAGTCCCTACAGTAATTTCCGTAACACCCTCGTATTACAACCCCTCAGTCGCTTACCTTAAAAGTTCGTCAGAAATATTGGCCCAGAGGAATTAAGTCCACCTAATACTCCCACGGTTATCATTACTTCACTTACAACCATCGCCATAACCAGCCCTCGCCATTAAACCGAAGTACCCGCAGAAATCATCGAGGGCCCAATATATTTTCTCTAGCCCCTCTAAAAACTAATTACAGACCCACCCACCCCTCCCCCCAACTCCATTCACTCGGACTTCCGGACATTCGTTAAAGATTTTAATTTACAACCAAACTTCGCACCAAGCTCGGTCACTGGTGCCGTCCAGTGAAACCTAGTTACCATTCATCCCCTTTACAATCGCAGGCACGATCTGACTTGAGCTTTCGCCGTTCGTTTTCTGAGTGTGCACGGCAAATGGTGGGGGTAGCATACGACAGTGGAGGGGATGAAAGTACGAGTACAGAATGTAGAGTATCAGTGTTGATGATTGACGTAGTGGGCGGAGGGAGGGGGGTGCCCAAGGCATTAGAATTGGGCATGAGTGAGGTTGGTAGGGGAGGGACGGGGTAAAGTAGGGGGACCTAATGGCGGATTCGCAGAGGCAAAGGTGTATCGAGCGACGTTTATTCCCCTCTCGTCCCCACCATGACGGTCTTATCCCCACTCCCTGGTACAGTGGTTATCCCTTCCACTACTCCGTCGTAGTACTCTAGTATGGGAAGAGAGGGGATGGGTTTATCACCATCTTTTCCCTTGCTCCTCCCCTCGACCCTTCTTCAATACTACCCCCACTCCTATATTGTTGGCACACTCAATCCATGTTCCCTTCGAAGATACCCCGTTCTATACTTGTGGCGGTAGAATGAAAGTGTTTTGAAAAAAAGATGCATTACTATCTACTCTTATATATATGTGCTCTATACGATTAACGATCCATCGAGTCATGGGGGGGGATTCAGTTCATTTTCTTTTGTTAAATTATTTTTTTGGTGTCGATGTGACAGGTGATACGAGTTTGATAGAAATTTTGAAAATATTTGAAGATATATATAAATATGAATTTTTGAAATTTTTTTTTTACTCTCTCATAGGATCTGACGTTTTTATAGGTGGCAAAAAAAATTTCTTTTGGTATATACTCGAAATGGAGTGTATCTCAAACACGTACAGGGTGCTTCAAGAATTTCCGGACGCTAATTGTTATCGTCTGGAACGACCCAGAAAACGTTCGATGCTATACCGTCTCCGTAATTTACGTACTTAAAAGCATGGTATTATCCCTGATTATAATACTTTTATAATTCATCGTTAAATCAAGCTTATAAGCACGTTTTCGCATTATCATGCGAGAGATGCTGAACATTGGCATCGCTGTTCTCCATTTTCTCAGTAATTACGCGATTAACTCAGAGACACGAAATTTTTCAAGTTTTCATTTTTTTTTTCATTTCGTTCAAAGCAATTTAAAAAATTTCCTCAACCGAGTGTACTCAAATATGCCAATACAGACGCAATAATACTGTACATAGAGCCAACCCTTAAGATTGCCAAAAGATAAACGACCGCAAGGATGCAGAAAGACACGCGAGAAGTGTACACCCTTCAAGCTGACCAACCACTTCATGAATGAAAACCGGCTGACCTTCCCGTATCTTTCTCAGCCCACGCCCAAACCCGCAAACCACCATCTGCGTCAACTTCAGACCAGCCAACCCAACACAGCATAACCTTACTTCAAACGCAATCCAACCTCCCAAAACCACTTTTAGCCATACCCTATTAATTGATCATACCAACCCCACCACGATACAAAACGCTTCATATAACCACCCCTTCGTAGTTCAATCCCCTATTAGACAGTACTAAGCCAGTCAAAGCCCTCGGTACCTACTGACACTTTGTCAGCTGTTGAAACAGACTGTCTAGGTCGGACGGCTATGGAACAGAACATACGTCACTCGTGACACATCTGTCAAGCGAGGTCGAGTTAGGTTCGAAACATATTAACCCAAGCCCCACGTTCCTAAGAGTAAACTTTAATCGCGAGACTTCGATTTATGCTAAATTATACAGCTGTCATTGACAGATGACTCTAATAATCAAGAACGGTGATCGCCCGGAACCATGATGATGATCACGAGTAAGAAAATTGAAAAAAAAAAAAAAAACTTTCGAGATTCTCGACGAAGCTCGTGATCATTAAGAGAAAAAAAAATTTATACTTTTTTCTGAGCTTGCATGACAGACCCCCAATCGGGTTCCTGCTGATGATGATGAGATTAGAAGCACGAAGTTTCCAGTGACTATGCATCTACCTTCAAGTATATCCGAACGAGAGTCAGTTCAAGTTAGGTTACCTGCTCGAATGGCTTTTACTGGCTACCAGTACACCTAACCTAACCTAAACCAAGCTTCAGTCAGACGGTGTCATCCAGTCAGCCAACCAGTACCCGACGAGCTCGCAGACTCGAAAAGCTGCTTCTGGGAAGAGATCGATCTCCGGGTACGACGACCCCGGGGTTACGAGTGTCTTTCTGGCTGGTGGTCGTCGGCGTCGTCGTCCCGACGCCGTTCGGCTACGACGTCGCTGACGTAAGGAACCTTCGTTTTTCGCACTCGAGGGTGCGTGCCACCTTCGTCGTAATGAGGAGAGCTGCGATAGGGTTTACCCGATCGGTAATTGGATCTTGTCTTAAGAAGGGCTTCGTTTAAACTCTAAACCACCATCTAAACATGCATCCTTGGGTGCTCCCGACCTAGGTTCATCAGAAGAAATTTCTTTTTTTTTTTTTTCTAACTATGCAACTTTTTATATCACGAATTTACACCATCATACTGAATCCACGTGACACGTGTATCATTGCGGTATTTGACAGCTTTTTGGAATTAAAATTTTTTTTGTTTTCGGTAATCAACAATTTTTTTTTTCCAGAAATCACTTTTATGTATTTACTGGTTGCCGAGTATCGTTATCTGGAATTCAGATAATTTTGTCGATTCAATAATGCCTGACAGTTGTGTCAGGCAGGAATAGGTATTATCTCGGGTCATCTATAGACAGAAGTATCTGTCCTAGAGCCAGGCTGACCAATTGAAACTGGTGGTCGTTGAAAATAATTGTAACTGGCATCAACGCAGGACCAATTGACTTTTGTAACGACACACAGGTGCACAGCGCGACGTAATCTGGTGGCCTCCGTCTCTGCCGGGAGTAGTCTGCGATAAGAATACATTGACCGAGGTCAAAGTGCATCCCGGCTCATCCTAGAACTGGGTTAATACGTTAAATCCCCAGGTGCATGCTATAGTCAGTAGAAACAAGCATCGATAACAACTGTCTATGAGATTACCACGTAATCCAATTTTTTATATCTACCGTCATGTGACTTACAATTTTTTAGCAATTCAGTAACCCTAAAGTATCATTGTTTATATCGTATAATAATAATCTGTATAACATTCTTTTCTCCCATTATCGAATTCACACGTTAAATTGCATCGCATATACTCAAAGTGCCATATACACCATTTAAGCCATTAAAGGGGCGGTTTAAAAATAACGACAAAATCAACCGGTTAGAATGAGTAATTGCAATGGTTAGTTTGATATATTGTGTGTGTGTATATATACATTTGTAGTATAGTATTTATTGTGCAATAGGCTGCATACTGTTGTATGCATGTATAAGGGTGCCCAGAAGGGGGGGG